TCCCACTCTGATAGTTGCTTTTCTGGTTTTCTGAAGCGACTCATTGACCAGCTAGTCCTGGAGGTGTGGGATCGGTGTACGCGGGCGCTCAAGGCGATGAAATAACAATCGAACTCGGACCCTGGGATTTGACTTTGGACTGGTCTGGAGATTTGCCTCCTCATCTCAAGCGCGTACCCACCCACCTCTTCAACTCCTCCCGCTTTTCGCTCATGACAAAACGAACGGCAAACGAAGCAGTCCTACCACTCCCAAATCCACGGCCTCAGAAAAGGATTTCGCCTGACAAAGATGCCACTTCACAAGGTGTAGCAGGCCAAATCGCCAATACACTGTACTCTTTCATCTGGAAAGCGGCTGCAGAGGCCATCAGCGGCTTGCCTGCACCGAGTGAGAGAGAATCTACTCGCTTTACGAAGACATTTTGGCTAAGCGAGCGGTTGTTGCAGATGCAGAACAGGAACCAACATCCTCAACAGCAAGTTCAAAGCCACGTTCTGTAAAGCAGGGAAACGAATCTCCTGCCAATGCCGACGTTTCTGAAGCTGGGAATAGCCCTTCAAAGATATCTCGTCCACCAATTCCATCCGCTCCACCACCGCCGCCACCGCCTGCAATCGTCACTAGCCCACCTGCCACTCACCAACCATCCAGTCTCACCATCTCGTCCTCAACCACGTCCTTCCACACCGCGCCTGCACCACCCTCTCCAGAATCTTCCTCCCTCCTGTACTCTCCCTTCAAAGTACCTTTTTCACCTTCACCAACCAGATCGGAAGCACGGACGCCCCTTTCGTTGCGCCGGGATCCTTATGCCCCCAGTCCCTCCCCAAGGGCCCTGCAAACACATATAAGTCGAACTCAAGTGCCTCGGAGTTTTCAGGCTTCTTCTGGGCTAAGCCAAGGTTCCGAGCAACTCTCATCTTCGCTTCCGCCATCCGCCCTAAGCAGGAATCGCTCCCCGACTACTCCACTGTCTCAACGTAGACCTCTCTTTAGCTCTGCAACATCCAGGATCGGCGCACCACAATTTGGATCTCCCTTAACCCGATCCGGATCGGTGGCTAGGCCGTACTCGAATAGTTACTCGCTGAGTTCGAACCGTGGCTTGGGTGTCAAACAGTATGCTCGGTCCGGTCATATTCACGAACAACAGGCAAGTTCGCACAGCTTTGTTTGCTTCCTTGGGCTTTTTAGCTCACCTATATGATTGAAAATATAGCATTGGCAAAGAGTGCATGCTCGCTTAACGCAAAATTCGATTGTGGACTACGACAAATTCTTGCAGGCGAAGGCGAATGGCTTTGGAGGAGATTATCAGGATTGGGTCAGCCGTGAATCGTACAGGCAACTACTTGAAAGCTCAGATCTTCTCAGCGAGTCAAGTAGGTCATACTTTTGCTCACCCATTCGGCCGGCGGCACTAAAGTTATTCTCCTTCATATAGCGGCGAAGAGAGCTGCTGAGCTTGGAACACGGTCAACTCCTCTAGATGCGTATCCGGGTACTCCAAGTTCGGTGTCGCGCGCGCCGTCCAGCCTTGGCACACACACCGATGCGATGAGCCTTACATCCAGCCAGAGATCCCGCCGCCCGAGCACTGGATCCACGACTTCTGAGGGATGGTCACCACCACGCTCCGAGAGCTCAGTCAGTACTGCACGGCCGATTCGAATGGGAGATGCCTCCAGTGCTCTATTTGGTCCCCGACCTACTTTAGCGGACCGTCCGGCGCCGAAGCGTAGTGTGGAACTGGAGAAGGCCCTAGCTCGAGCACGGGCTGCTTTGAACTATCCTCGAGCACCCCAGCCGGATGCTGCCGCATTCCGGCGCCTTGAACTCGAGAGCCGGAAGAAAGACGAGGAAATTGCAAAACGCATTCGAGCCGCGAAGCGGAAGAAGCTACCAGCCGAACTGCCTGCGCATCATGCCGCGCTCGTGAAGTCATACATGCAAGACCGAGGTTTCTCAGTCAAGGTTGGAAGGGAAATGGTTACTGCAAAAGACATCGGGAGATTAACTCCTGCGTCATGGTTAAACGACGAAATCATCAACCTCTGGGGAGCGATGATCATGGAACGGGCTGAAAGGTATAAGGCAGCAAAAACTGGAGCAGCTAGTACGTGGTCCTTACATTTTGGAAGCTCGTGTTTTAAGTGAATGCGGGTCCTTAGGTATTAATGGGAAAGGCAAAGAAAAGGAACTCCCTGATAACGACGATGCAGATCCCGGTCGATTCGGTCACCCCGAACCTCTGCCAAATGTGCATTATTTCAATACGTTCTTCTTCCCGAAGCTCGAGAATGAGGGTTATGAGAAGGCCAGGTTAGGGAAATGGACAAAGACGGTGTGTATTCCTTTGAGCTTCCAAAGCAACCAAATACTTATTTGAATTGCCTCGAATAGATTGATATTTTCTCAAAAGATGTGATACTCGTTCCCATCAACCTGGGCAATGCACACTGGACCTGTGCTGCCATTAACATGAAAAAGAAGCGGGTCGAGTATTATGATAGCATGGGGTCACAACGTCCAAAAGTGTATCAGGTAAAGTCGTAAGGCTCTCCAGAAAGAGGCATGTCTGATGCCTTCTGGACGTTAGATCTTGAGAGATTATCTGGAAAAGGAACACAAGGCAAAGAAGTCCAAACCATTTAACTTTGACGGCTGGCAAGATTACTGGAGCGAAGTAGGTCTAGCACTCTTTCTCAAAGCTCCTCTCTGACAATCGAACACATTCCATCAATAGGAAACACCTCAGCAGGAGAATGGATACGATTGTGGGATGTTTATTTGCATGTTTATGGAAGGTTTGAGTCGTGGGGAGGAGGCGGAGGATTTCGTATTCGGGCAGTCTAACATGTCGTACCTGAGACAGCGCATGCTGTATGAAATTGGGCGGGGAAAGTTGTCGTGATAGGCTAGATTATAGTTTTCCCTTGCTTCGTCGCATCTCCTCTGAACCTCCTGTTTTATTCAATGCCTATCTCACCGCTATGCGTCGTAGTATACCTTCCATGTACAGCAAAGCACTGATATACGCCTCATGTGTGTGAATGCATAACTTTATACGTCAGTCCTTGGTTCGGCGCGGGGTCCGGCGCACTGTGGTGATTGACGGAGGGTCGGGTCCTGAACCGTGCATTGGCTCACCAACTATTATAGATGGCTTAATTTAAAAAAGCTCTCCTCATCAGGGTGAGATGGCCGAGCGGTCTAAGGCGCCAGATTAAGGTCTTTCGAGCGAATCGCTTGTATACCTTCTGGTCAGAAATGGCGTGGGTTCGAATCCCACTCTCATCATTCCTTTTACTTTTACCTCCCGTCTTACTCTCCTCTAGCACACAATTCCGGGCAGCGAAACACGATGTTCTGGCGTTTTCCGGACTCGACCTCAAAAGGCGAAACGAATAAGACTGGGTCAAACAGCTTATGTCGCCGTGAGGATTGAAAATATGGGGTGGAACATTGTGGAAGCATCTAGGGATGACCTGAACCATGGTCCGCAGAAACTCTGAGTTGTAATTAGATTATGTATCTAATTAGAACACACCGTTCTTATGCAGGCGAGGAGATGCGCGAGTACCTGCAGGCCGGAGAGGTTGAGGGACCTACCTCCCACGGCTCTTTTCGACTATTATTTCGTTGCGGACCACACCACCCAAGATCAACGATGGCTAAGAAAAAGAATAAATTCGTGAGTTCCTTCATAAACTAACGATTGTTTATTATTAACAGTTTTCGTGATCTATAGGTGCTCAAACCATGGTGCTGGTACTGCGAACGGGAGTTCGAGGACGAGAAAGGTACGCGCTGATGGCGGCTTCAAGCGTGTTTGTAGAGTGTAACGATTTCTTGAATAGTGCTCATGCAACATCAAAAGGCTAAGCATTTCAAGTGCAAGCACTGTCCTCGCAAGCTTAACACCGCCGGAGGTCTTGCTGTTCACGTTCAGCAGGTACACAAGCTCGATCCGGACAAGTAAGTGACCCAACCCATGAGCCCTTTAAATTCTGACTTCGCTTTATAGAATCGAAAATGCGCTACCTGGTCGAGAGGGAGGAGAAGTTGAGATCTTTGGTATGGAAGGGTGAGTTCACGTCTTGTTCTCCCGGAACTGCTTGGAATATCTGACTAACATCGTTTCCGCAACAGAATTCCAAAAGAGTAAGATATGCATAGATAAGGAATATTTCCGCGCATACTTACAAGTCTGTCTATTTCTTGCAGTGATGTTGAAAATTGGAAGCGCAGGAAGGAGCAAGAACTTGGCCTCGCAGCAGGTTCCATTTCTCAACCGCCCACCAAGCGCGCTAGGACGGATCTTCGACCATTAAGCGAGGCTGAACTCCGGGCACAGCTTCTTGCACATATCGCACTCATGTCCGGTAATGATACATCTACGGCTGCGCCAAGTGGTGCTACGGTTTCCGCTGGTCCCACAGCAGCTAGTGTTGTCGCAGCGCCCCAAGCTTATGCACAACCCCCGGTTCCTTTCCCTCCGCCCACTGCTGGTGCCCCTCCAGCACCCGGTACTGTTCCACCTTTCCCTCCGCAGGGAGTTTCGCAACCTCCTTTCCCATTACCACCAGGCGCTCCCCCCGGCATGGCCCCACCATTCCCCCCTCCTGGGTAAGTAATCCATTTGGTCCATCGACATTTCTTACTAACACTCGTGATTCAGTCTCGTGCCTGGTCAAGCCCCTCCGTTCCCTCCGGGTATGCCTATGCCACCCTTCCCGCCAGGAGGCCCACCTCTTCGGTTAGGCGGCCCCCCCATGCCTATCCCCCCTCCCAACATTCCAAGGCTCCCTGGAGCGCCCTCTCTGCCTCCACCCGGAGCTCTTCCGCCTTTTCCTCCAACAGGGGGTGCGCCCGCAGGCCTTGGAGCGCCACCATCGCAAACTCCTGTTACATCGTCCTCTCCTCCCAGTTCGTCGCCTGCCTCTTCTCAGCCTCCAGCGACCGTCGTTCCGGTTCCGACTCCCAAACCCGCTGAGCCCCTTGCTGAGGTGAAAGAAGGCTCGAAGCTCATATGGACTAACAATTCTAAATCACCTGTGAGCACCGTTATGAAGCTTTCAGGCGAGACGCTGATAGATCATCTCTAGGACGAAATGCGTGCTGAGAGCTCAAAGTACGCCTATGAAATTCCTCGTAGCGGCTGGATTCAGCAACCTTCACAGCAAGACGCCATCATGGGCGACGCGGAGAGCAAGGGAAGAAAGCGTGCACGGGCGGAAGACTTCATTTAGGCTCATTGTGATTTGTATCTTGTCTATACGACGTTGTACGATTTACATCCAACTATTGTACACGTTGCCCTGACATCCGCCCAGCGAAACTCAGGCCGCACGTCAGACTTAGCACGCCTGACAAACTAGGATCTATCGTAACGCTGGTGGTTCGGCGGTGGGATTGCCTGGTTGGCTCTTTCCGGGTACTTGCTGTTTGAAGAAATGAAGCTCTAGCAGCCAGGCTTGTGGTATCGAGGAGACTCCCATCGCATATGTATTTGATGTGACAATCTTTGTTTGCAAAGGTGAGGCGAGTCGTTAGAGGTCTCAAGGAAGAAGGTACACTTACTAGCTCGTCGTACATGATTGCAGGGACCTTGCGGCCAAATAGAGAAGAAGAGGGATGAATTTTGACGGGCTGGCAAGATGTATGCTTAGGGAATCATGGCCTCTTTGCGATCAGTCAAGTGATGCTTACTTGTCCTCCAACAACCTGTTTGTATGAACCATCGGGCGTGATCATCGCAGTATTCTGCCACAGCCCAGCCAATAATGATCTCAGAACTCCCTCATCATCGTTGTCGCCCTCCGGTTTTCTCGATCTCTCGCTCGATTTCCAGTCGACGTCCTGCCTTTCGCACGTCTCTCGCAGCTGCTTTCGGATATCCAGTGCCTCTTTCAATGCCCGCTCGTTGAGAAAGTTGGTTTTACACCACTCCTTTGCAACGTTCCGCTTGCTGGACGACCGACCATCGGAGTCCATTTCGACTCTTTTGCCTTTGGGCTTGCCATCATCCAGCGCTAAGTTGGATCCAGAAATCACCTCTTCGTAGGATTTGAGAACGTTGAGGAGAGTCAAGTGGTCGCCACTCCTGTGCCGAAACTTGAGTTTCGCTTCCGCTGCGGCTTCGCGATCCTTGGAGTCGTAGAAGACCTTGCCAGTGGTTGATAAAAGTGATATGACTGAGAGGAGATATGACGTTGAATTTGGAATATTGATAGACTCCAGTATCGCTCGAGAACGCGGCGGGTCCAGTGGGAAGGAGGCCATCCACCGACCGATACGAGTGACATCGCCGTCCTCCTGAAGCGCGCCTAGCGAAAGTAGGACAAGCAGAGAGCTTTTAACTGCCATTATAACGTTAGTTATTTCTGTATCAACTGATAGCTTCAAGCCACATACTTGTATCCTGTGATGGGGCGTCCATGAAATCGGCAACTTCTGGATTCTGCCCAAGGCACTTCATCTGAAGGATAGCATGAGTCAAATTGCACCGCTGAATCTCCGGAATTGCGGCCTCAGCGAATTGCGTAGTGTAGGCCTGCTCCGTGTACAAGCGAAAGCACCAGCCTTCTCCCTTGAATCCAAGCAGCATGAGTAACTCTCACTTGGCGCATAGAACGTTCATACCTCACGCCCAGCCCGACCAGTCCTCTGCAGTGCAGAACTCTTGCTGATGGCCTGCACCAACAGTGCGTCGACCCCGCTTCCCCTTCCTCGAGGGAAGTATCGCTTCTCCTTGCAAAGTCCAGTATCAATGACGTACTTGACCCCGGGTATCGTGATACTGGTCTCCGCAATATTTGTGGCCAAGACCACCTTTCGCATGTTGTTGGGGGTTCTCCCGAAAACCTTGGCTTGGACAGAGGGAGGTAGCGCGGCGTACATCGGACACAC